CCCCCCCCTCGCTCTCCCTGACTTTTTGTCATCTTGGTTGTCTCTAGTGGCGAGCGAGGTCATGAGGGTGTGAGGTCCCACAAGAAAGGTTAATACGAGTGCCACAAAAAAATTGGGAGTGGTATAGAACGCGCCCGCACTAAAGAACCCAGAAGGTAAAGAAATTGAGCCTAAAACAAATCGAAATTTAAGAACTTGACCACCAATGGCGAGCTCGGTTGAGAAGCCCTACACTAAAACCCATATAGCGACCATTCGTAGCATGACCCTAGGAATACTGTAAGAACCCCACCCGCGAGCAACACTACAATGATATAGGGTCTCAAGTGCGGGCGCGTTCTTCTGTAGTTTACGTCGTCAGCCTCCTCTCGTTCTCGTCGATAGGAATGTCGTTCGCGCTCATGTCTCTCCAGCGCATGTACCCAAGGTCATCGAACTCCCAGTGCTCGTTACCGTGCGTCCGGTACCACTGACCCTTCTCGTCGTACCACTCGTACTCGAAACGAGCGCTAATGCGGTTTCCCTGAGTTTTTAGCAAGCAGTCGCAGAGGTACGTGGGAGTTGGTACAGGTGACAGTAGGCCCCAAGCCAGAGGGTCATCAGGAATGGCTGCGTGTGTGCGGAGCGAAGGGTACTCCGGCAGTTGTGGTTCTGGTTGTTTCGGCCGACACATATGTTGGATTGGACCGGGTGAAAATATCGTGCTTCTCGTTAACGGGTGCTGCAGATCATTATTGCTCTCATTCGACTCCTACCCGACCGATGGCGTGGATGTTGGCATGTTGTCTACCTTCCTTAACCCTAGGATACCCACCCTCAAGTGAGTGAGGTGTTCAGAAACGTGGGAAGGGTGGGCAGAGTGAGACACACTGGCGGAGTACGCAGACGATGTGGGTTGCTTTTACCTTGTCTATCGTAAGCAGACCTGCCCAGCGAGGCGGTACACTTTGAAGATATCGTATGCATGTGGCGACATGAAAGTTCCCTCGCACAGCCTCCTGTTACTCCGATGTTGAACAAGAATATATTTTCATGAGGTAAACCAGTGCGGGAAATCTTCACAATTTCCTCGCAAAACCCTCGCTACGGTGACAACATCACAAAAAACACCAGCGATAGCAGCAACGACAACAATAACAACCACAACCACAACGACAACAGCAACACACTGTGTCACCTCGAACGACCAGAGGTGCTTTTTGAGGCGGTACCCTTGCTCCTTGCTCCACTTGCGTGTCAGGAAGGCTTGAACTTCCTCCCTCCCTTTGAAGGCAAACAAAGCGACAAAAAAATCAGATCAAGCCAGGAAAAGGAATAATCCTTGTTAGTCGTTGAACAGGTGTCACCCGTTACTAAGGTTATCTCCACAAACACACGCAAGAACAAACAACAGTCCCTCTTGAGTTCCGAATACTTCGAAGCCACTTTCACGGGCTCTTGAACCTGATACATATTTGCATCATTTTTTCTGCTTCGTCTCCTTTCTTTCTCGAACTAATACCCGAACCCATTCGCCTTCAGAACGCGATCCGTTCTTCGAAGTTGTGTTGTTTCTCTATCAAGCGTTTCGCAGGCGAGGATATGGGTGAAACCGTATCGGTACGAAACTCAACCTGAAAGTCCACAATGTCACTATCTCAATATTTTCCAGTTACGCCGGCTCCGGAGAGGCATACGGTAAAACGTAAGAAGTGTCTACAACACCATGACTAATCGGATCGCCTTCGCGAGAAACTAAGTTGATGAGGAAAAAGAACAGGGAGGGGGTACGTAGACTCTAACCCTAACCCCAACCCAACTTCCCCGATTGTATGCCGTATCCAACATGTTGACTTGATAATAACCCTGCAAAGGGCTACTGGACCAATCAGAACAACCTCCGGACGTTTACTTCGTCGGTAGGGATACATACTTGCTGATGCCGGCTGTCACAAGAAAAAAATCCTAGTATATGCTTGTTGCGGTTGACAATGACGCAGCCAGGACACGGCAGCAGGCCGATTTATTGAAGCTGCGAAGAAGCGGTAGGCTCGTTTATGCTGCACGCGATGGGGCAGTAGCGGGGAACCAAGAAAAATACTCAAAACCACGCTTACTTCTATTGTGAGTCGAGACAGGTTTTGTCGTTCCCGCATGTGTTCTCCTCGACCCCTGCAAAAACAAAACAAAGGAGCGTGCGGGACCGATACGCCAGGAAACACGACCCGAACGTTGCCTGGCTCATTTCTAAGCACGCACAAACGTTGCAACATACACATTGCTCAGATGACACTCCTCACAAACAGAATAATAAACCAACAAGCAGGAATTTCGCAGTTCGCCTAGGTTCGTGCGCTTATAATGTGCTGGTGTGTACGTGTGTACCTGCGAATATCTCGTCCCTGTTTCTCCAGACCGTGTCCGGGCTGTAAGCAGCGGCGACCTTCGCCGGGTCTCGGGTGTTCCACGCCGCCTCCGCTGCCTTGGTCTTATTCAGGGCGGTCTCCGCAGTGAACGGTGGCAGGGGGTGCTGGGGGCGCGTGCATGTGCAAGCAGATGACGTAGACCAGCGAGGGGGCGTATGTGACGCCCGGTAACATTCAGGGGGGGCACTCCTACATCTATTCAGGCACCTCTTGGATTTTCGCTGCATGAACGTCTGTGTCCACGCTTTGCCCGAGTACGGTGCTTGCTCGGCTGCGGGGGCGGCCGCGCCTTGGAAATGAATGTTTGTTTCCTGGAGTGAACGGAAGGCGCATGGGCCATGGGATGACGCTCTGCTTCCAGAAGCGGGGTGCACATTGCTGCCGCGCGGCAGACGGTGATGTGTGTAGGAACAAGCGAAAGATGTGGTGCAGTGCCCCTGCCGAAACTGAGCTATGTACAGCAGCGACCCCAACGTGGTGGGTATGTACTCAAGAATTGTTCGGCCCAAGCGGGTAATCGGGGCGTTAGTACGTTTTATCTCCCGAATGTTCAAGTTACACAGCAGTGTCAGAACTGGTGCTGCTGGTTCTGCCGCCGCTGTTTCGTGTGTGCGCCAACGAATCTCTACCTCGGTACTAACCCGACACTCAGATGCAAAATACACTCAGCAGCATGAGCACACGACGTGTCAAGTGTGGTGCCGAGGGGGTGCCAACATCGCCTCAGATCCACCGCAAAATCTTCACGTTTGGTCTCACTTGTTCTTCCTTTCCATCTACGTACAGAATATGCCGGGCGCCTGTAGTTAGGGTTGTGCTCTACACTGGAGCATGAAGGGGAGCACGCACCTCAACACCCCAACTGATTATACATACACTTTGGGCTGCGGAAGCGAAAGGTCGTCGTATCCTGTTCGCCTCGAGAGCGCGTTGCCGGAGG